CTGATAACCGAGGAGATGCTTGAAAGGACTCCTTATACAAAGCTGGGATTAAGGCCATGTGAATAGAATTACCGTACTTGTAATTAATTCACTACTCAAACCTCTCTTTTTTAGCCTAAGGCGAAAGTCCTCATCTCCACTACGGTAATTCTAGTTTTGCACAAGGAACCCTTCAAAGGACAAATCTAGCGATTGCATACTGTGGATAAAGGCGTTCAATTACGAACCTGTAGTCGCTAAACGGCTCTCCAGGGAAAGGAAAAAAAATCATGGAAAACTCCCTAAAGACTGCCTGTCAACACTACTCCTAGGAGTTCTCCGAACCAGCTCGTTCGACTCCAACAAAGCGATTTCCTGCTCCCTCTGGCTCTTCTTCACGTCATGCAATGCTACTACCATATTACAATTAGAAAAAAGGAAAAACGTGGGTAAAAACTGAGCCGTGTCATCAAATAGCCTTTGCATTTTGGTGGGCGGGACAAGTAAAGAAGCGTCAGAACTGTCACTTATGAGGGCCCAGCGCCTTGGTCTCTGACTGGGAAGCCGCGAAAAAGGGACAATCCTGCAAAGTGAGGACCAGACTACTTGTGCAAGTGAGCCTACAAAGTGGATGAGTACGAAAACTTGCTCCAAATGCTCTCTCCGAAGTTTTGAGCGCTACAGTATCCTATAAGTTTGAAGGTAAAAGCTGATTGATCCAAAAAAGCTCTGGAATCTGGTGCAAGAAATACCAGTAACAGATGTTCAGGGAGAATAAGTATGCAGTTTAGTTCTTGAATCGCGAAACTGCCCGTGCGGAATGTGATTTAATAGCCGGAAAGGTTCAAAGGAAAGGAAGGATTTACGATGCATGGGTCCTGTTCTCATGAGATCATTCGAGGAGGCATTCAAGACGTGCGTAATTCGACCTCGAAGAGGGCAGAGCATTAAATTGACTGCAATCCTGTCGTACAAGACGGGAAAACCTTCGCCATCGCATGTGCGTTAGCGAATGCAAAACAGCGGCCTGGAACGAGTGGAAGCTAGTCGAACCAGACGAAAGACACAAATCGTAGGGACGACCAGTCTGTCAAATCAACAAAAAAGCCCAACCAGTGCCATAAATGTTATAATAACACCTTAAAGCGTCACTATCATTCAGAGCTGCTATGATTAATCGACAGCAAAAAGACATGATGTTCAAGATGTTAGCTAAGTAGCGATTAAGTAGTTCCAATAGGGCATTCGAGATGAACGAGAGATATATAAAAGCGAAAAAGAAAACGAAAATAAAAACGAACAAGTAGTAATTCGGAGGTAGTTCAGGCACTACTCACCTTGAGTGCGACGAAATTATTCGTAAGCAGTGAACGTCCTCGGTATACGGTCGCGTAAGTGCCTTCACCGAGCTTGTCCAACTTCTCATAAGTTTCCAGCTTACCAAAACCGATTTCGCTCTTAAATATGTTAATCTACCTTTGCAAGCTCTCAATGGAAACCCCTCAGAGGCTCAAACTGTACCAGAGAAGCCCTCCGATTTTTCCGCGTCAACGGTTGATCAAGCGTTGGGGTTCGATTCAATTTCTCAACAACACTAACAGGAAGCCGTAAGTCAGCTGGCAATGATAACCGTTTCTGGATTTCCTCCTGCAATCAAGAAGGGGTCATTAAAAGGCCCATAGGCGACAAGAAGGAAAGAACCAAACCTCGCTCCATTTTCTAGACGGTTTTTGGCGCATTTTCACATTGACGATATACCTTGGAGGAACACCCGTAGGAGTTTGGTCTGACGTACACGGTGAGACCTCGACACTTTCGCCGTCTGAGCCAAGAGCAGGCGATTCTTGCACAACTGCTAAAGAAATAAAAATTAATCTAAGAAAAAAACAGTTTATTATACAGCTTCCTTAAAAAGTGTTTGGTACATATGGAAGTGAAAGTGTAAGAAATTTTTGGAATAATATTTCTTGAAAGTTCCTAGACAGACGAAGATGGGGTTTCCAGAAGGTGTTTTTCTTTCCTTATTTTCGCTGAGCTATGAACTTTCGAATTTCACAGGTGGCCAAGGAGCTGTCAATGGCAGATGACATAGAACATCTGCTAGCGGTATGCGCATGGAACTAGGCAGTTTTCTAGCTCCAGTCGCAGCAACGAGAACACTCTACCGATAAATAGGTCGTCGAACGATGTTACGAAACAACGACATTTTCTTCCTACAAAACAGAACAGTCAAGATTCACGGAGTACGATAAGAATACGACAAAGCGGAGGGAATGAACGGTCGTTTCTTACGAAATTACGCAGATTTACGCAAAAGACTGTCCGCTGAAGGATGATCGCGCACATATGCTTTATTTCTTGCATTAGAACACTTACACAGTGACATCGACGGCCGAATGAACGACCTGTGAGTGCGCTTTTTCGACATGAAGAGGCTCAACCAGTTGGCAAATGAGGACGTGGCGGAAGCCGACTTGGTGATGTGGTTGCGTCGAACCGGTGGCGGTCGTTCACCTTCATTGCCGTCGTCGGCTTCAGTGCCGTCGGCGTGATCGGCCTCAGTCTCCCGAATTGCAGCTTCGTGCATGGCAGCATCGTGTGACAGTGGTGATAATGGTGATGAACAGAAGTCGTGGAACGTAGCCGACTTGGAGAGCTTCGACATGGCGACTCACCAACCATCCACTGGACACTCCTATTGATCGCCCCGCCTACCCTCAACACTAGTAGGAGGCGAGGCGAGCGAACGAGCGCGCAACCGTCGGCGCCGGCTAATTATGTGCCTCACACCCCCGAAGCCGTCACAGGAAGCGACCGCGGGCTAGGCGGGCGCAGTGCTCACGCAGGAACGGTCTGCGCTTGCGCTTACATGACACATTACGCTATAATGGGGTCATCAATGTTGGTTGCCTGTGAATACCGTTCACAGCTGACTGAATATTGCGACATGAGACGCATAATCGGTGTTCAATCAGCACTCCGAAAACGCTCGCTTCTCTCAGGCGCGCGATCTCCCGCACTCACTCACAAATGAGATAATAACATCTGGCAGACAACATGTGGCAAGTCGGACGAAGAGGCACGCCGACCATTGCACGCAATCACGACATCTTCCGAGGATGCAGCGCCTGCGCATACACCACAAAATGGCCCCTTCAGGAAGAGCTGGCCCCCTTGGAAACCGCTTGGATTATAGCGATTTTTTGAGGGATTACGACTACAAAGACTTGTAGCCTTTCGCTTTCGTTCGATGTCAAAAATTATGTAGGTCTGGGAAGTCGATCTTAAGCTTCAGCCTATTTGACGATGATTTTCTTTTTGACCGTTGTCAAAGCCTACGAATGCCCGAAGTAACCTAAACATTACTGAAGTGAATAAGTTATTATACTATGAATGGTTCCAATTTCGTTAAAAAATGCGGCGGAAATGGCAATTAGACACAAACCGAGTGCCTAAAAAAGAACTCATTTTTTCGGAGCTACCTTCAACATTAACCTATGAAAGTCAAGCTTAATTGTAGAGCCTTTTCATTACCCTGCGCCAATTTCTCTTAACGTCTTCACTGAGGTTAATCCCTTTTTGCAGAACAACACGACACGACGCGCGGCCAGTCCTCGCAACCCACATCGGTAGCAGGTCGCATTTCCTCGCTGGGAGGTTCCAATCAGGAAGAAATTTTCCACATCTCCACAATGTACCCTGCTCTGCAACCCCCTTTGAAAACAATCCTGCGACTGCATATCGTGGATAGCGGAATAACGAACTTATAGGCGCTAAGTGACTCTCCAGGGAAGAAAAAAAGCAAAAACAAAATCATGGAACACCCCAAGTAAGGACCCTCTGGCAGCCTCACTGTACGACTTCTCCTGAACTGCTCGTTGTATACCAGCAAAAATATCCTGCCCAGGTCACGTCATTGGTTTCAGGAAATTTCGGAAAAGCGGTAGGAAGTTAGGGAAAATCTAAGAAAGAGGAGGGTCGTATTTTCCTCGTGGTGTTTCGCCCGACAGCTGGAGCTGGATGAGGAAGGAACCAGGGAGGGGGGAGGGGGGTCGTACCAACCCTTTAAAGAAAGCGGGGGGAGGGTCGTACGAACTCGATTCCCCCCCCCCCGTGAGGAATCCTCAACAACAATCGTGCCGTCTGCCACCTCTGGCTCATTTTCCTCGCGTAACCCATATTAGTACCATTTAACAGTGAAAAAAAACGAAAAAAACGGCGTAAAAACTTAATTTGGAACAGAGAAAATCCCTAGAAACTTGGTGGGCGGGACAACCAGAGAGGCGCCAATACATACTGCCACTTATGAAGCGCTTTCGTTGCTCACTTGAAGCCGCGAAAAAGGGACAATCTTAGGAACCGAGGTCCAAACTACTTGTACAGGGAAGAACGTCCATGAACTGCTGGAGCGCGGGGACTGTTCAAGCACCCTAATCCGTGCCTCTTGTGCACCCAAACTTCGCTACTCGAAATATAACGTCATTGAAGCTAAATCCCATGATATGGCGTAGGAAACTCGCTTGAAAAAGATCCTAAATTGTCCTTAAAGTGCAACTCTATTATATATGCTTGAACGCTCCAGCAAGTTTCAATTTATTAACCATGGCTTCTAATTTATTCCTTTGCGTCAATGATAGATTACTACAGGAATCGGAGATAGAAAACTCGAGCTCAAACGAGAAGTCAGACAATGTTATTTTATTCTAGTATATGCTTGCGAGTTTTGATCCCCAACTTGGATCCAAGGCAGATCATCAGTGTGAGGATTAACCAGTGAATCGATGAGGTATCTTGAATCCAGGAGGAAGGTCGTATTCTAGCTGCGAAGGGTGGAGCGGTGGTAATGGGCCGAAAAATTTCTCAACCATTATTATGTGTCCTGGTTGGATCACATGTCTGTCACAAAACTGTATGAATATACTTCTCACCCATGACCAAATGACAGGTAACTCCCCCCCCCCATGTGCGTGACGGATGAACTATACAGTCTTCTGTTTTTTCCCTCTAACCTACTGCAGAGCGACGCCTGAAGCGTTCATACCTCGCCAGTAATTGAGCGGTTCGGGAATCGCGCGATTGCGACTGTGTACGCTCCATCGCTAATGGTTGAAGCGCTGCAACTAGTGATTGAGCAACTGCATCGATAAAGAAATCGCTTTAGAATTGCACCGAGGGTGAAGCCAGGAAATGACTCTACTTTTCTTTGCCTTGTCTTTGTTCTTACTTGTCTTTGTGGTCCTCCTCCTCCGCTTCCTATGACGGTAAAGAGGGCCGGAGTGCGGTGCGAGCGCCATTTTCCGACTCCCCTGTTAAGAAATCCCGGGAGAACTTTCTAGGTATTTTAGCCAGTGTTTTAGTGTTACAGCGATCATTGCGTGAAAGTATGAAAGAATGAAAAGACCCGTCGCCCTTCGGCGAAAATGCCTGCACTCGATTTGTTTTCCTTTCTTTCCGCGATTTCGGACGGATCACTGCTTGGAATACTTATCGATGGGGTTCGCTCGATTAGCAGGCGATCAGTAGTGGAGCGGGTCCATCATAGTCGCGCGATCGAATCTTTTGAGTCGCGGACTATGAACGCAACTCCATCGTGATTAAATGTTCAGCATCCAACAGCTAGATGACACTTAACGTTTTTGATCCAAGAAGTCTTCAATCCAACCCTTCAAGAAGCAAAAGCTGCTTAAGCCGTTCAAAACTCATGGGAGCTTTGGAGTCCCATATTGCTGTGAAGTATGAGATTAAATGGATTACATCCTGTTTATCTCAACTTTCCCTTCGCGAGACCTATGCGATTGCCAGATGGCTTCTGCTTTTCACTTCACTTTCGTTGAGCATTCTCATTGCATAAAAACGCCTCGTTCCCTTTTTCTGTGCTTTGTTTACCCGTTCCGATATCTGATACCACTGAGAACTCACCTTTATTGTGGCCATCAGTTCGCGTTTTTCAATGGATCCAACGGTTAAACAAATACCCCATTTTTTCAAAATTAGGCCATACCTGTGCATAATTGCAAAGTTTCGCTTAGCTCCATCAGTAATTGGTTTCACCTCGTTACTTATCTTCAATGAAACAGTCAATTAATAATATTGAATAAAAATATCCCGAAATTAACCAAGGTACTCAGCATACAGAAGAGACATAAAGTGCTACTGCTGTATTCACAAATTTCTGCGGGCATTGTCGCGTGCGCCTCTATGACCCTGCTAATGCTCTTTTTTCTCGAGAGGAGCACTCCTCAGCTTCGCTCCGCCATGTTCTCACTTGAAGCTGCGTCATGCTGAATCGGAGAGAGGATGCAGTGACAGAAGTGTTCTAACGTTGACTTATGCTGAGACATGTCTCACTACTTAGACGAGAGGGTGTAGGGAAGCAGACATGTCTTGACTTTAGGGCACTTCGTGCGTTGGAGTGTCCAGTGACGATGACCGTATTTGGTTTTGGTCAATGGTGGGTGGGGGAGGGGTGGCCCGTATTCGCTTCTGAGAGAATGCTTAAAGTTCCAGATGCGCTGTGTATATCCCTTTTTCCGTTCAACGCCAGGTTTTCGGTAAATGGTAGAGGAATCTTTGGGGAAAATCGAGTCCGGAAAAGTGGTGTTAAGAAAATTAAGGAACATTGGTGGGTTCGATGGGCAATGGGGAACGTAGGGGGCCGTACCAGAGGAGAAAATTCCGAGGAAGAGGGATCGCTTTCTGCGAGAATTTCCCCCAGCAGCCGGACGTGGCAGGACGGGCAGGACGTGTCTTGGCTCGCTGATGTGGGTCCTCTCGAGGCACACAGCATCTGTAAAGGAAGGCGGCTAATATGTGGTGACGAAGTAAGTAGGGATAGGTCATTTACAAGTTCTTTGGGGGAAACGCTGTTACAGTATGGTAAGACTGAACCTGTATAAACCCGTCTTTCCAATTCCAGCTCCTTCGTTTTTCCTTTGAAGGAGAGAAGGACAAGGGTAGGACCAGATATGACATCTCAGCATTTTTAGATTGGCTACAAGAATGGCAAAAGACTTATTCCCAGAGGGACTCGAACTCGCACCCCAGGCGCTCCGGGCTAATGCGCTATCCATTGCATCACCAAGGCAGCCTTCAATCCTCTCTTTCCAGGTCGACTTCAGTGGCCTGCTCATGTTTCAGGGATTAGATCACACTCTAGCCTACTAAGCGCATCTTCAACTCAAGCGGTTTCAACATCGTCTCAGGAACATCTCGAGAAGGCCTCAAAAACCGTGAAAACAAACTCAGCGACGGGCTATTGTTTGAGCGAAAGAGACCGCCGCCCACAAAAGAGCAAATTAGATGCAAATAAAGAATATTCTACTGTCTCCGTGTAATACAGTGCTCCGAACGTCCCGCCGAACATCCTCGTGAGACTCAAAACAAGTAGGGCACTTACTGCTCTGAAATCCAACAACTTTCGCCCAGTAGAGTGCTGTTCGGCGACGGGAGGGGCATGTTGCATTCTTCGCAGCTTTTCTATTTCCGGTTTACAAGTCTCACTCTGGTGAAACCTGTGAACTCTTGTGTAGCTGGAGCAAGCTCGTCCAGCCACCATGATAAAACCTGTCAACTCTCGTGAGGCTCTCTCGATGGCTCGACACGTCGGTGAGAAGTGGCAAAAGTGCAAAATGCACCCCCACCCCCTCCCCCCGCCGTCGCCGAACT